ATCAGGGCATTGCACCCATTTGTGCACAAGAACCTGCCTGTCAATCTCTGGTCTTCTAATGATGATACCTTTGTCCAGTTCTGCTACTGAATGGAGAGCGATGACAGTGTATGATGCTGAGGAAGACTTTGCAGGTCAGGCCTTTGTGCTGGGGAATGAGATGGCTGCGGTGAGAAGCTTGTGGATTGCTAGCTCAACTTCAGCATGTGCTTAAGTGTCTTTAAACTACCCAGACCTATTGTCTTCAATTTGTTGAAGATCCAGAGCCCACACTGCTAGAAGGTGTTTAACCCCACCCACCCTGTGTGTAGCACTCCTAAGGTTGTCTCTTTGCATTAAAACTGGGCAGGGCTTGTAACCTGTCTGCCAGGGCGTTCAGCACCCCTGAGTGTGACACACGCTCATTTTGTCTGGAGAGGGAAAAGGAATTGTCTTTTTTTTGAGGAGGATTAAGTAATAGTGGAGACTGTTGCAGTTTCATGTGTCAAGGAGCAGTGCCTTTCTTGACCTCAAGAGTGAAATGTGGCACCTAGTTCTGTGAGGTTGAGGTATTTATACCTCTGTCAGGTATGACCTGGGAGTCATGTGCAGTGCTGAGAATACAAGGGTCTCCTTGATGCTAATGGAGACCACCTGCTCTAATAGAAGGTGGCCATTTTCTTGACCTTGTTTTCACTTACGGTCTTGTTTTCAGACTCCTGAAGAGGAGGAAATCTTGAACAAGAAGCGTTCAAAGAAGATACAGAAAAAATACGATGAGCGAAAGAAGAATGCCAAGATAGCAAGTATTCTTGAGGAGCAGTTCCAGCAAGGAAAGCTACTTGGTGAGTCCCTGGCAGCATCCATGTGGGTGTGGTAAGGGAGTCAGGGTGCAGGCAGGGTGACAGAGCAGATCTTATTCTTGGGACCATTTGAAGTTCTACTTGCTGTGGTACAGCAAACTGCAGGATGAAAGCAGTGAGGTCTTCTCCATATTTGCAGGAATATCTTCTGGGTCTTGGATGTTATTTGTTCTTTAATCTTTTCTGGAGATACCCCACTTGTGGTGAGAGGGGGAAGTCTGTTTTTGGAGGTTGAATTGGTACTTGTCCCAGCCAGGCTCCTAGAGATGATAATTTCTGGTTGACCTTTGAGAAAAATAGTGTGGCTCAAGACTTGTAAAATGAGGAAGGACCTATAAGCTGCACTGGGTGTCAGAAAAATGTTCTACGAGCATGTAACAGCTTTGAGTGGCTTCAAGTTCTGGGGAATAGTTCAGTGTTCTGAAGTCTTCTGGTGATGAGACCTTTGTCCAGTTCTGCTACTGAACTTGAGCGATGACAGTTTGGAGATCTGAAGAGGACTTCGCTAGAGACTTAGTCCCACTGAGCAGGTTCAAGAGCATGATGCCTCAGGGGACTGAAGCCAGCACACAAACTGCTGTGTCTGTTACTGGTCACTTACTGGTCCATGCTTTTGCAGAGAGGCTGCCTGCTCTGGTGGTTTCACTTCATGGGGTAAATTATTAAACTTCTTTAACTGGATGCCTTCTCCTTGCAGCTTGCATTGCCTCCAGACCTGGACAGTGTGGCCGAGCTGATGGCTATGTGTTGGAAGGCAAGGAACTGGAGTTCTACTTGAGGAAGATCAAGGCCAGAAAAGGCAAATGAATAGAAACTATTCTGCTGAGGGAACGAATAAAACCAAGAGTCTGCTACAGGCAAGGGTTGTGTGCTCATTTGTGTCTGCAGGGTGGAGGGGGCTGGCGTAGCTCCTGCCTGGCAAGAGTGAAGAAAGAAGGATCTGTCCTGGAATCCCTGAGTGCTTTTGTGTCTTCAGGCAAGCTCTGATCCTGCATAGTTTCAGCTAAAACATCTTCCTAGGTTCTAGGACAGTTACCTACTGGACCAAGTGGGTGTGGAAAAGAGTTGTCAGACTTGGCTGAAGTGGAGAATTTCCAGTGCTGGAAACCTGCATGCAGGAGGAAGGTGGAGGTGTCCATCCCTGCTAGAGTTCTGGCTTTCTGGGAGCTGCTGGGGTCTGGCTGAGCATGTGTCCCCCTTTCCCTGTGGTGTGTTAGGTCAGCACACCACAGCGGGGAGAGGTCTGTCCAGGAGCAGCTCTGCAGTGCTGTGTTTCTCAGACTGCATTTGTGCTAAACCTGGCTCAAAATATGTCTCTTTAACACCTCCAGCCTCCACTTTCCAGACTGCACGCTCTCAGGTCCTCTGGTTCAGGCCAGCATGGCCCTTTCTGCCATCACCTGGTGTTCCCTGTCCAGTTGTACAATTGCCTTCAGGCTCTGGCATCTTCTTTTAACCCAGCTTGGCTGCACTGCTCAGTGACCAGCTGGTCTGTCCCTGACCTCCTTGGTCTCATTCCGGTGCAAGATAAATCCCTTCTAGCAGAAGGGCCAGGCCCTGGTCATGGTCTGTCCCTTTCGAAAGCTGGGTACAAACTCCAGCTTCCTGCCCTGTCACCTGTGGTGGGATTCCACAAAGCTAGGTCAGCTGTGATGAACAAATCTTTTCTGGATGTTTTGGGACGTGTGATGTCATTCCTTAGGACTGCTGTTTAAGGAAAGCCAGCATGCTGGATATCTGTATCTAGTCAAATGGTTTGGCTGGAGTTGAGAGTCCATGTAAGGGCTGCTCCTGGGGACATGGAGGCAGGCCAGACTCAAACATCTCATGCCTGCCAAGTGGGTATGCTGCACATTTCACCCTACTTTGGTGTTTTTGGGAAAGCCTCATCTATGTAGGAACACTCTGGTGCAAGACAGGCTGCCTACAGCCACAGCTTTTTTAGCTCTGAACTGGAGGAGGTGATCTGTGATCGTCTTGCCTGAAGCGGAGCTGTGGTGAGACACGTGTATCTACTGCCTGTCTGACTGTGCCCCACAAAAATAGCTTGTGCTGGGTGTTTTTAAGTTGCTCTGTGATGCTCTGTTCCTGTATGTGGCAGCAGGAGGTGCCAGCAGGCTCAGGTGCCCTGGGCAGTGTGGGCTCATCCTGTCTTGCTGGCAGGGAGATGCAGGTGAGTCTGTGCCACAGATGGAGACACACCAACCACATCAGAAAGTGGTACTTGTTATGTGCCCTTGCAGCCCAGAAAGCTGGTCACATCCTGCTTCAAAAGAAACCTCGCCAGCAAGTGGAGGGAGGTGATTCTCCACCTCTACTCTGCTGTGGTGAGACCACCTGGAATACTGCATCCGGCTCTGGTGTCCTCGGCACAAGTAAAACCTTTCAGCCTCCATAGGAGGATTCCCACACTCGGGCACACGTGTTTCACCAGAGAATATTGGCAGAGCTGTTGAACAACTTCCTTTCCAGCAGGGCCTCCCTTTCCCAAAACCACCTTTCCTTTAAAGCTCCCAGCTCCTCCCAGGAATCTAGCCCCACTCAACTGCTGGACCCATTAAATTGTAACCACAAGATCATTCTCTGGATTGGACAATATGACATGGGGCTGAGAGACACAGTGAGGGGCAGCACTCAAGAGGATGAGTGACCTCACTTGGGTTATGCTGCCAGCTGCTTGTTATATGAAAAGTAGTTTTTTTTCAAATTCAACCCTTGCATATCTACCTGCAGAAGCGGGTAAAGGTCCTTAGATCAGGCTTGGGCACCTCATTAACCCAGCCAGACTAAAGCCATGCTTAAGCCCAGCCCCTGCACATCTTTTTCAGGCTGAGTGCCTGGCAGGCTCGCCTGCTCCCAGGCAGGTAAATCCCTGTGCACATCCACAGAGCCGTGCCAGGGCTGGAGCAGAAACCACACACCCTGCAGCCAGGCCAGACAAGGTCCTACAGCCTGCGCCACCATGGGAGCCAGGTGCCGCCCACCCTGGCAGTCTGCCACTGTCCTGTGCTGCTCTTGTTCCCACAGGCTGATGGCTGCTGTTTCTCAAAGCAGTAACTGAGCAGCACATACTGATGAATTAGCCATAGTCCTGCTCGTCAGGGGCCAGGCTTACAGCGCCTGCTCTGACACCAAATTGGCACTTGCTCCATAACCCTCAGTTTCTCCTCCTGTACAAAGTCCTTCAGAAACACTCCAAATTCTGTTTGCACTTTGTGGAGGGCGAGGAGAGAGGGAACAAGCTCAGAGGAAGCGGCTGTGACGCATTCTCCCAAGTGCCGTTTATGGCCTCTGCCTCACCTCTCTGGAATGTAGGCGTTGCTGGGGAGCAGGGAGAAGTTTACCCCAGATCACTATGGAGAAGAAACGTGCTAGTGCAAACGTCCTGCCCAGCCCAGGGACACACACTGCCAGGGACTCCACAACCTGGCTGGTGGCATTTGGGCATGGCTCTGTCTGCAGTGCCCACAGGAGTGCAGACCCAAGCTTCAAGGCAGTTGCCAGTGCATGCCCACCACGGTGTAACCACGCTCCTGTGGCCATCCGAGTGGAATTGGAGAATGTTTTAAGGATCACTTCCAACCCAAAGGTCATCTAGTCCGAACTCGCTGCAGTGAGCAGGGACATCTTCACTGGAGCACATTTCCCTTAGCCCTATCCAACCTGACTTGGAATATTTCCAGGGATGGGGCATCGACCGCTTATCTGAGTAACCTGCCCCATTGTTTGACCACTCGCCACATAAAATACTTCTTCCTTCTCTCTAGTCAAAATCTCACCTTTTAGTTTAAAACCACCACCTCTTGTGTCTCAACAGGCCCTGCTAAAAAGACTGTGCCCATCCTTCTTATAAGGCCCCCTTTAAGTACTGAAATGATACAGTAGGATCTCCCTGGGGCCTTTTCCAGGCTGAACAACCCAAACTCTCTCAGCCAGTCTTCACAGGAGAAGTGCTCCAGCCCTCTCATCACTTTTGTGTCCGTCCTCTGGACCTGCTCCAACAGGTCCTTGTCCTTGTGCTGAGGATACCAGAGCTGGATGCAGTACTTCAGGTGATGTCTCACCATAGCAGAGTAGAGGTGGAGAATCACCTTCCTCCTTGAGGTAAGGGGAGGGGAAGCCACCCTCTGCCCGGGGGTGTCACAGGTGGGCGTGTCCTCAGCTTCCCTGGCCAAAGTCTTTGATGCTTCTGGCAGGGGATGCAGCAGCAAAGCAGCGGCTGAGCAGAGGCGTCTGGATGCACGGCATGCTTGGCGAGGCCTCCACTGGCTGGCTCTGCTCCACATCCTCACACATGCTGGGGGAGCCCAAGCAGGGTGATGGGGACAGGCTGCCATCCTCTGCAGGGATGCTCCGCACCACTCACTGCCTCCGCCCCGGTGCATCTGGAAGCAAGGAGGAGCTCCACAAGGCCACGTCCCTGCCCCAGCAGCTCATCCATCCAGCAGCTCATCCAGTTGGCAGCCACCAAGCCCCACAGAGGCTGGGCAGAAGGGTAGAGAGGGGAGTGTACATGTCCAGGTCTCCCTGCTGCTCCGGCTCTAACAGCTCCAGGAACTGCGTCCCCATGACACAGAAGGCAAAGGAGTAGATGGTGATAGTGACAACCTGCCAGGAGCACAGATCAGCCCGTGGCAAGGATAGCAGCCGAGAGGGACACTCGGCACGGGAGCAGCGAGGATGCAAGAGGCTTGGCTGGTCACTGATGCTCTCATGGACTTGAGGCTGAACCTTGCTGCCCCAGTGCCCAGGCTCCTGCACATCCCTGCAGGGCTGGGAACCAGCAGCTGGGCCAGAGCCAGCACCAGACTCAATGGGGGAGTAAAGTGCTTTTAGGAAGGGGAGTGAAATGCTCCTCATCAGGGTGCAGGGAGGAGGCTGTAGGGCACCTCCGCTGTTGGGTAGAAGGAGCTGGGGTCTGGGTTCGTGGGGCCCATGGGGCTCACCGCTACCTGCATGTAAAGCAGTGGGGTGCTGATCCAGTCGTAACGGAACAACGTGCTGCACTTGGCCCGGTAGAGGTTCAGCTGGGCAGAGAGGACAAGGATGGGTGACTTGTGCCTTGCGTGAGGGCCCCCCGGCGCCTGGTCCCCATGCAGCCAGTGCTGGCTCGCATCCGTGGGCAGGCGAAGGGCCACATCACCACGAATGCGGCCGTCCCGCCGGGCCTGCGCTGCCAGGCTGGTGAACCACATGCAAGGGATCCAGTACTCCTTGAAGTCGGAGTGCAGGCTCTCAAACTTCCTGTGTTCATCCTGCATCATGAAGCCTGCGGTCGGGCAGAGGCTCAGCACCATGGTCCCCATGTTGGTGGGGGAAAGACCTTTTGGGGACCATCCCCAGCAGGAACACAGGGACTTCCAGGTGAAACTACAGCCCCAGGAGACAGGCTCTGGGCAGGGGGGACATGGGGCTTTTTGGGGGTGAATATCTGTGTAAGTATGCCACCCTGTGTGCGGGGTAGTTTGGGGCAGAGATTCTTGCAAGGATCTCCAGCCCCTAGCACACCCTCCTGGTGATGGGGACACATCTGTGGCCCCCAGCTTTCGCCCTATGTTGCAAGTTGTCACGCCCAGGGCTTAGCTCCTCACCCGCTTCCACCATGTGGTCCATGGTGGGGAAGCGCTTGAGCACCCTGGTGCTGACAGTGCAGGATGAGGAGTGCTGACAGGTTGGCGTAGCGTGGGAGGGTGCGTTGCAGGGTCTGTCCCTTCTTGTCCTTGCTGTGGACATTGCTAGAGGTGACACACATGAGCTGGTTGGGCAGGGGGATGCGAGTGTACTGAGCCCACCACCAGTTCACAATCAGGTTGACATAAAAACCCACAGCAAGAGACAGCACATCAGGGGCTCAGAGGGGCCAGCTGGCAGGTGGAGGTGAGGGCTAGCCCATGCCAGCAGAGCTGCCGTGTTTCCAAGGGGGACAGATTTGTCTCTGGCTGAGAGATAAAGTGCACATTGTGCTTCCCGTTGGTTTGCCCCTACCCAGGGACAGAGGTGGGGATGTCCCTGGCTCTTTCCTGCCCTTGTCACAGGTGGCATAGGGCAGGACAGCCATCTCTTGTAGATAAGCTGCCCCTTTCCTGGGCAGGGGGAGGAGGGTGTGCAGAGCAGGCCGAGGGAAATCACAGCCTCCTGCTGGCATGCCCAGGGCCAGGGAGCTGCACTCAGCAGGTTCGGGAGCCAAGTGCTGCCCCTGGGATGCCAGACTCCTCCATTCCCCGCTCTGTTGGTGTCCAAAGGATGTTTTGGCTTGGTGTCAGGATGGGCAGTGGGGGCATCCTCAAACTGCCAGTGCAGGGGAAAGCAGAGTATCCCAATTCCCAGGTTCAGGGGAGGAGCCCATACCCAGGATGAATGGCATGGGGATGAGGTCCGTGGAGCGGTTGCAGTATTGAGCCTCTTTTGGTGTGGAGGTGCTTCTGCTCCTCGGTCAGCAGCAACCTGCTGATACCCAGGGATGGCTGCGGGATATTTCTGGAGCACGGGTGAAAAGAACACCCATCGCTGCTCAAGTCCTCACTGCCAGCACCAGGCAGCCCCTGTGGCTATGGGCCGGGCTGTAGCCCCTCAAGTGGCTGGCTGGGATAGCTCAGCACTGTGGCAGCTCCTTTGTGTCCCTGGAGGGCACTTGGGGACAGCATGAGCTGGGGCACACTGGGATCCTATACCTGGCAGGGGGTGGTGGAGGCACAGCCTTTAAGGCTGGCACGGAACCACTTTCCCAGGCCCAGGGAGGGATCATGAAGGGAAAAATTCCAGCAGAACATAACACAGTAGGAAGCATCCGTGAGTGACAGCAAGACATGCAAGGAAACCATCCCATCCTTGTCCCCGACCCACACGGGGGCTGGGGCTG